ATTTATAATGTTTACTGTTGTACATGTATATGCTATTTACAAATATGATTTTTTAGGAGAAGAAAATTAAAAATTAAAATACCTAAAACTAAAATATCGGTAAATCTAAATTTATCAAAATACCTATAATCTATATATTTAGTTAAGGACTTATTTATACAGTCAAATAACTATTTAATATTATACATTTTTATTTATGTTCATAAAATTTTGATAATGTCAGTATGATAATCTGGGAATGGATCCTGGACTATAAACGTTTCACTAAATTCTTGAACAACCAACATATTATTATTTTTTATGTACTATTTGCATGTAATAGTGTCATAGGATACGGGAATTTTACAATTTGCTATTTCATTTATTGATAATATTATTATTGTTAGTCAATCTTTTTATACGCAGTTTTTTGCTTTATTTGTCAAACGAATTATCGGGCATAGTTTTTTTGCCACAAAATAAATATTTATAAATATATGTAGGTTACACCTTTATTCGCGCAGGATTGAATTGTGGCATACCTATTAGTCAACATTTATTTTCACATAAATATGTATATACTCTGAGATATGCAGCTTTCTTATAGGATATATATTTATGAGGTATATTATACAATATAATTGTATATTTGTACATGTATTCTGTTCTGTTTGTTTTTCTATGCAAATTTATTTTACACCCGTACTCTGAAACGATGACGTGTAAGAGACACTAATGTTGTCTTTGAAAAATAACTTTATACTATGTGTACATTTTCATTTCTAAAAAAAAAATTTAATTGCTTTTTACAAGTGAGTTTAATAAATTAGTTTACTTTGTTGTACCATGAATGAAATTTAAAATTTAAATGTTTGACAACTAAACTTACCTACAGAACTTTTATAACGTGTTTGCATAACATAGACGTATAAATACTTATATAATAAAAATATTTGTATATATTACAATATGATTGCTTTCAAGAATTCAAATTTTAATAATACGGGGTTTTAAATATGTCTATACCAGGAAAATGTGAAGAATTAAATCGTTCATGTAAAACTCGTTGAACGGTACTTTTTCTTTATATCATTTGTCGTCCATCGGTCATTATTGTAAGAGGATTTAAAGCGGAACGCATGTACAAAACATTATATACAACACACGCGTACATCAATTATACTTAACTTTACAAATGTGAATCTTGAAAAATATTTATATTCAACTAACAGTAATATGTCTAAGCATAAACAAAAATATTTATGTACATGTAAAACTGATCATAATTTTATTATTTATTGTCTTAAACAGATTTCAATAATATAGATTAAAAACATTCTTTTTTTTACGGTGCCTATACAACTATATGTATCTACTCATATGTATTACTCGATTAATACAAAAAAAAAAAAAAAAACCCTAAGGTTAGCTTACGTATACTAATGAAATATGTCGTATTAATATAAACTGATTATATTGACTATATTGACCCAGTACGAAGATCAGTTTTTTTTTTCTTAAGAAATTTCCCTGTTATTTTCGATCACCATCATCACCATCATACTGTTATCGCGATCGCCAAAACAAAATACAAACCAAGGGGCATAATAAATATTTATAAATATATATACTTGGTAAGAATTAATTATAAAATAAGTCGTACGTGCTTCAGGTTTTATTGAATTTGAATATCGGTAGAAGTGACACACAAACACGGGTGGGATGCTTTTTTATTCGACGGACGATCACTAAATAATAACAATAAAATCTATTTTATACAAGATCATAGGTAACTCCAAAAATTTGGAACCCTATCGTAGTTTCTTGCAAATATTTATATTTCTACTAGGTAAATTTCGACACTAAAGGACCAAATGAAAACATTATTGTTAGGTATTAACTGTGTAACAATTGCTCTGGTAGCAGACGAACGCTACGTTTACACGCGATTTGCCGTGACCGCTTCCTACGCCGCCGCCGCCGTCGTCGTTTGCCTATTATTTGTTGTGTAAAGAGACTAACATTTTTGGTTTTACGAACGGTTTATTAACCCATTTGCCATGAAACTGCGCGTTGTTGTTACAAGTTTTAAACCAAGTTATGAGTACTTCCAATTACGTAGTTAAAGACTCCAGAACTATCTATATAAATAAAATGTAATATACGTAGTATAATCATTCAATGTTCGCTCAAATCAGTAGTATCCTATTTTATTGTGAATCGACGTCGGGATACCTGCATCGATTGTGTGTTAGAAAATCGAAACCGTCGTCGGTATAGAGCGCATGTCACCTATGTCGTTCAGTTCTTATTTTGCCTTTTGGCCTGAAATATTGTATACATAATAATTTGGGTTTTTTTTTTTTTTAATTCAAAATTACCAACCGTTTATCGGATTTATAATATAATAATTAACGTACTATAACATGTAAAAAGTATGTATATTGTCACAATATCATACTATGTATTATCGTATCTCATCATTATTCTGTACGACCGTGGACCACGTTGAAATAAGGGACCATTGCTCTAGAGTCTAGATAAGACAATCGACGTTTCTACCAAAAAAAAAAAAAAAAAACTATAGTGTGAAATGAAAACGATCACCAAACGATTTAATTAAATTACTATTATTGTGTGTATTTTACTACTGTCGCAGTGCAGCGGACAACCTACTTCGTAACGATTCCAATTCAGTGAGTAAAAACATTGTGTTTTCCATTTAACCTACTTATAGTGTGGTGTGTGTATTGCGTGTCTATATATGTATAGTTTTAACATAGGCTCGTTGTATTTTCAGTAATTCAATGTTGGTGGCTTGTATTTAAAATACGCTAGTTTTTAAAACGATAAACTGTATTATTTTTGTTCTTTTTACGTGTGGACGACGAGCATAATAATTAGATTACGTTTTTTTTTTTTGTAAATATTTTCATGCTAATATGTTTTTGCTTTTTTTGCTGTTTTACCTATTTTTTGCAGCATGTACAGTTGTTTTATATTTGTATGATATATATACATATATATATATATGGGTGTTTCAAATGTTAAATATTTAAGTAAAAAAAAAATAAACATGAACTTAATTAGTGCATATTATTAAATAAGTACATAGTAGTCGTATAAAGTATTTATAAATAGATTTTGTAATTTTTAACGGTAAATTAAATTATACTTCTACTTAATAATATTGTTATTGTATAGGTACTAAATAATTGTTAATATTTGATTATTAGGTATCTATTATGAGAATATATATTGCAAATGTATAGTTGGAAATTGTTAATGAGCTTAGGGGCAATTTAACGACTTGTGTTTGACAATAAAAACTAAACACTATTTTACTACTTGCAGTTAAATATGATGCTCATTTGTATATAATGTAGTGCCCCTAAGGCAGTTAACCTAGTACTCGACTATAGCATTATATTGTATAAATATGTTATTGGATTTCTAATTTGAGATGATACATTTGTTATATAAAGATTGAAAAAAAGATTCTCTTAAAACCTATGTTCCATGTGGGAGAAAAATAATCAAGCATCTGCTTTCACGGATTTTATGTGCAATTTAACAACAGAAAGTTTTCGAGTAATATAATCATAAAAAACGGCCTACTTGTAAATATATTTATGTTGTAAACTTACTTAGTATAAGGATTTATATACAATATACATTATCATGTGGAACGTATTATTAATTATTATTACTGTAGATTTACTTTAAATTTTTTAATTATTACTTAAAATAATACATCTCGTAATTCTAATGGTTAAAAAATTTATACGTACAACTATTTAAAATAATTTAGATGATTAGATATTAATGATAATCAAACTATTAAAGTCATAAAAAGTGTACTCTTGTATATTTTTTAAACCAATTATAAATGAGTTTTTTAATTAATAATAAATGGTGTCTAAGAACTGAAATCTCGGGAAAGGGTTTCTTTAATAATATGATTATTATTATTAGTATTCGTACTTAAGTGTCCTATTTTTAATAGTAGTAATATTTATTTTTATTTTTATGTAAGTATCTTAATCACATACGCAACGAAGAAAAAATATTTATTGATATATTTATATATAATTACGATATAAACATGATGTATCAAACAAACTATTTATTATAATTACCATTAAATTAAAATACTTACATATTAATAATAATATTATATATACAATATATATATATATATATATATATAGTTAGAATTATGTTGCAATCTAAAATTTGATTATATTCAAAAGTGTCATCTCAAATCAGATATAGGTACATATAAAAACCAATACTGTATATAAAACGGCGCTCAGTTATTCGTTTCACAGTACATTCAATCATTATATATATATATATATATATATTTACCCGTATATTTACCCGATTTATGCTGTTCATGTTAGTTACAATAATTTTTTTTATTTATTAAAAATTCAATATTAATTTACTTCTCCTGCCTTATTATTTATTTTTAAATAAAAATAATTCTGATCTATTTTTATCGTGACAAATAGAAAAAGGCCGGTATAAATTATCATGAATTCTACAAAAGTTAAGCGATATTTATTTAGCAAAAATTATAAATTACTTTATATTATAATAGATATCTATTAAAAAAAAATTGTCGTACTCACTCCCCGATAAATCTTCTCATTACGTGACTAAATATGTAATGAGTTAAAAATATTAAAGTTTATGGTATTTAATTATAGACTTTATATATATATTCATTTGTAGTTCTTAAACATGATTTTATTAAATAACTGAGTTAAAACAATAAATTATTTTTACCATCCATTTCATTTACCCTACTTTTATCTCATTACAATATTATGAACTTTTATAGTGTGTTATTTTTTAAAATATAATTGTTATGGTGAAGTATAATTTTGGTATGACCTATTGTAGCGGGAGTATGGATATAAACGTGATTTAGACTTGAACGGTGGGTAATGAAGTTAAATACTTAATAATAATATACCACAATACATTAATATCTATAAATCTTTTGTACTTACTTTTTGTGCGCGGTGTATATGTCAGAGCGATCCAAGAACTTGATTTTATCAGTAATATATTAATCTAATTTGAAATTAAATAAAAAGACAATCCAATCATGGGCCGCTCTTAATATTTTTGATTATATGTACAATATCGTGTTGATGAAAATATTTAAAAATAAAATTGAGTTCTATATTATTATTTGTTTTACTTGTTTGTATTAACAGACTACTTAGAGCAAAAGATGAAAAAAATAAAAACCGCGTTTACACTGTATAGACGACGACGAAGGAGTGCAATATAAATAGGTAGGTGTTAATAATAATAACGACGACGGCCAAGTATCAGAACTCCCGCGCAATTGTTCCACGTGATATCGTTACCGGACGACTGTGCCGATGTACAATCGTCCAGGCAAGCACTTCAACGACGTCGTTGCCCAGACCCTCCCCACCCGCACAATACGCATCAATACGCTGTAGTTTTCCGAGTGGCGAGTGTATAATGATATCGGAGGTGAGCGCCGCAAATCTTTTTTTTTTACAATATATTTTATAAATATTAATTTAACGATGTGTACCGCCGTGTCCACTGACAGACAGAGAGATTTTTTTTCACGTCTTCACCGCCGACGATGACAATATAATATTACTATATGCAATTTTGATAATTTAATATATAGGCACCTTTAAATTTGAATATAAATATAATATGATATGTTATTTGGGTCAAATAATAAAATGTTTACGTATGCATGTATATATATTAAATATATATTTGGGAAATTAATTGAACCGAAATTCGAGTGTGCGGCAAAAAATCGTGTCACACGATTTCAAATCAATACGATGGTTGGATAGTTATTGGAAAACGGAATTCCTTACATTATTAATTTTGTTGTTTATGCATATTATAAATTTAACGTGGCAAAGTCATATATTAAAATGTATAATATTATATTTGTTTTTTGATTTTCCTATGATAAATCGTTTTTTTTTTTTTGTATTTAATAACGATAAATATTTTTCTTTATGGACTTTATAAAAAAGATGTTCGTCGAGATAAGATATTATTTTATTTGGTATTTTCTTAAGATGACGTAATTTTTAATCCATTTTCTGACATGAAACTAAGAAATATAAGTATAATCGACTGTACTCTTTTATTTTTTTAGAAATAATAGAGATCTTAAGATGATTTTAATATTTAATTATATTTTTAGATTCTTAGTGGATAGATGAATGTATTGATTTTACAATGATGTGTTATTTTGTGTTTATAGTGTTTATACACATTATAAGTAGCTGATAAAATGCTTCAATTTTCACTATAAAAGTGGTTTTGGATAGAAAATCGGATAAATTTGTATTTTAGAGAGGTTAAGATTTAAATAATCCTAGTACTTTTTATTATACAAAAAGACAAACAAAAAATTAAGGAAAAACGGAAATTCTTACGTAAATCTAATATTAAATATCAAAATAATAATTTTGTAACCATAGTGACCTTAAAACTTATCAAACTAATTATTTAATTAGTTAAATGTGATTCATACAGCCAAAGTTTTTGAAACATAAAAACAATAAAACCAACCATAGAAGTTAAAAGTATAAATATATTTTTTACACTGCACCAACTTGTAGCACCTGTATGAATATAATTTAATTTTAATATTTAAAAAAATTGAGAGCACCAACTTTGTAATAATTGTTTTTCTTTATATGCAATCAATAATCTATATTTTATTATTATTAATTATTTTAATTATTGACTAATGAAATTATTAACTACGTTAAAAAACGTACCATGGAATATATACTAAATGATAAAGCTGATGGACTGTTTCCGCTCAGAATCGTTTTTCATACACAATTATGTATCATTGAATTAAAATTTAACACACCATTATAATAGTGATCCACTCGACACTTAAGATATAGCAGAATGGTACCCACTTACTTACTTTTTTTTTCATGATCGTTTTCAAAATTTTTGTCTGCATACATATTACATACTCATTTTGTCATTTTTCAATATAAACCAGTACTTTTTCATATATATACTTTCACAAATGAATTTTTTTGTTCAATCATTTAATGTTAAGCAATATGACTGTCTTCACTCAATTGTTATTTTATATCATTTATAAAAAGGGTGAATATAATATTTTTGTGTAAATAATTTATTAACTAAATATAAATTTCCATAAAATATTTTAATGTAGTTTAAAACTGTAATATTCTCAATATTTCTCATGTTGCTATAAATTATAAAACATCAATAATATGAAAAGACTTGTTAAATTTTATTATTACTAAATACATTTAAAAATTTGTAGTAAATAGGTTTTTAAATAACTTTTAGGTACTTATGATCAAATAATTACTGTTAGTTTAGTTTATTTTATAATTTAATAATAATAAAATTAAATTATTATAAAGATTCTCAATAACATGGACGACCACATATAGTATAGGTAATGTTTTATAATTGAAGAGGTAATGGGAAATTTATTTTTCAAATAGTCTTAGTATTTGGACAAAAATAAGAAATACATAAGTAATCAATTGTTTACAGGTAAATAGTTTTATCGATTTATCAAGAATATTTTAATTGGAGTATACAAGTTTTAAATTATAATAATTCTATGAGAAAAAAAATTAAACAAGTAAAAACAGCACAATATACAATAAAATAACTAAATATAGTTATAAAAATGTATTTCTATTGCTTTATTTATGTTAAAACGATTCAATTTTTCATAAAAATAAACGAATTCTATATATAATTATTATTTCAAATTAAAACACTCAATTTAAGTACTTGGAAATATTTAATTTTAATTGAGACTTTGGTCTTCTTAACTTGTATTCATCGCCGATTATTGTATCTATGGAGGGATAACTGGTAATAAACAGTGTTGGGAATAGATAATTAATAATTTATCTAAATAAAGATAAAGATGATTGTACTAATTTTATCTGAATAAAGATAAAATTAATACATTTTTATCTAGATAAATATCAGATAATTTCATTAATTTTGCAAATAATTAGTGATATAGGTACAGATATTAAGTAAAAAAATATATCATTTAAAACATTTTAAAATATATACATAAAATAAAATAGTTTATTCATTAGAACATATGAAAAGTTATTCTCTGATTTAACAATACAAAAAAGCTTAAATTTGAAAAAAGTATAATCAAAATATGGCTAATGAGAATAGTAATGTCATTCAACTAATCTATAAATTTACTTTTGTTGTCTTTCTTATTAGTTTGTAAAATTAGAAGGAAAATTGTTTAAAAGACTAATACCTATATTTAATTGGTGATACCTGTTGAAGTACAAGAAATATACAACTTAATTTCTCATGATGAGAAATATGTTTTAGTGAACCAAACGTGAACTCGCTTGCATACATAAGTTGTAGTAAAAATTTAAAAAAATTCAAACAATTTACAAAAGGATTTATCATAATTAAATGTTAAGTAAATTTTTTTTAAATATTTTCCTTTTCATTTTTCAAGTACTTATTGTATCTCATTAATATCACATGTTTAATTAAAATAGGTTTGTAGAAATGTATAATAACATTAATAACTCAAAACGTAGCCAAATTATTACAAGAAAAAATTATACTCGATTTAATTAATACTATATGTAACTTTTAGAGATGTTTAAGATAAATCGTATCATTATTTTGTATTAGATATTGCAAGTTATAGTATTAATCTAAATTGGGAATGCGATTTAACAGTAGTATACAAACAATTTATCATTTTTCAAGTCAAAATTTGTTTTAACGGGTTTTCACATTTTTTGCTGTTTACAAACGACTTGTGAGCTTACAATTAAAAAATTATGTATTGAGCGCAAACAATTATTATCGCTATATTTCATGGGGCATAATTGTATTGCAACGTTTGAAATTACAACCCTAATAACTTATGACATTCGTGGATTAACTGAAAATGAAAATATTAGAGATTTCAATATCTCCGTATTGAAGTTATTCCTCTGCTTGTAATTTTACTCTAAATATCTATTCATGTTATCCATTTTATATTCCATAGATGATAAATTAGTTTTGGCTTTTTGTTTATGTAAAGTTAGTATCTTTATGCGTAGAAATATTAAATTAAATATTGGCTCCGTTATAATACAACATATGGGGTATTTTAATATTTAAAAAATATTATATTGAGAGTAAGACGTCGTATGAACTCGAGTTGTGAGTCCATATTGCAATTTGAGTTGTGTGCGTTCTACTTGTCATCTGGCCTATAACCAAGTAAACGGTGATTGAAACTCGTCATTGATCGCCGCGATCGCAATTATATTTTCTTATCGTGAATATTTTATTCTGTTATGTCACTACTTACCACATTCGAAACCGTAAATTAGCGAGTTTAACGAACTTATTAGTTTTTATTATAATTAGCTCCGTTAATTTTTCAATAAGCGAGGTTGACTAGTTTAGGCCACGTCGAGGCGGTCTATGCGTGTTCCATTAGATGCCCGGATGAGTCCATTCCAATGCTGAAGTATATTTGTTTTTATCCTAATAACGGTTTGTTCGATTTAACGGAATACGTATTAAATGTTAAATATATTTCATCACCAACAATAGAAAAAATGGATAAAGTATGAACATTTTACTAACATTTATTATATATTATTCATATAGATATCATTTTAACATCGCCATTTTTATCGATACGTCGTAGAAATTACCACCTACGCTTAACATTCACCATAAAAAGTCTAGACTAAGATGATACGTTTTTTTATTTATTGCAATTCATGGACCATATTCTGAAATATCATATCATTTCATATTTAAAAAAATATAACATGTACATCGGATTTAAGTTAAAAATAATGTTAAAAAATAAAAAAAAATCTTAAAATTACTGAGGCGTTAAGTGTAACGTGTCCATAAAAATAATAACAACTTCATATTTAGTAAGTAAAAAAAGACAATAATTTTTATTACCGTTGTGAATGGACATAGTAGTTGCAGTGGAATTGCAAAACTAGGACGGCGTTTGTTTCAGAGGACCATGTTCGATTGTTCCTGCACACAATATAATTAAAAATCGTCTTCTTTAGACAAAAAAGTACATAATAA